GACTTCATTCTTATATGGTGATTTAGATGAAACAATTCTAATGAGGCAACCTGAAGAGTTTGTCGAAAGGGGTAAGAAAGATTATGTGTACAAGCTGAAGAGATCTTTATATGAACTGAAACAATCTCCTCAATAGTGGAATAGGAGATTCGACAAGTTCATGGCAAACATAAGTTTCATTAGAAGTCAGTTCACCCTCTTTGTTTACTTCATATTTAGACCTGGTAATTCATTTTTTATTTTGTTGCTTTATATGGATGATATTCTAATAGAAAATAACAATGTCGAAGATGTAATAAGGGTGGAGGATGAACTCAATAAGGAGTTCAAAATGAAGGATTTAGGAGTTGTGTCCAAGTATCTTGGGATTGACAATCGAAGAGATAGAAAGCAATCGAAATTATGCTTATCTCAAGAGACATACTTACGGAAGATTCTCAAAAAGTCTGATATGTCGAATTCAATCCTGTTGTGACTCTGACAAACCCTTAATTCAAGCTGAGTATAGATCAATATCCCAGTACTAATGTCGAAAGAGCTTATATGAATAACATTCCATATGCTAATATAGTGGGTTCTTTGATGTATGTTATGGTCTGTACTAGACCCGACATAGCATATGCAGTAAGTCTTGTAAGCAAGTTCATGGCGAATCCTGGAAAGGCTCTCTGGAAAGCATTAAAGTGGATTATAAGGTACATAAATAGGTCTTTAAACAGAGTCCTAGTTTATGGTTGGAGCCTTGGGTGAAGATAGTAAAGAAAAATTGAGGGATATGTCGACTCTGATTATGCAGGTTGTGTGGATTCCAGAAAATCTATTTTTGAATATGTGCTCACTACGTTTGGCACAACAATAAGTTGAAAAGCAACACTTCAAAAGGTTGTTGCCTTATCAACCAATGAAGCGAAGTATATTACCCTAATTGAAGTTGTGAAGGAAGTATTGAGGCTTGAAGGTTTTGCAAAGGAACTGAAACTTCAAGGTCGAGTTATCATTATTAAATATGATAGTCAAAGTGTAATACACCTGTCAAAGTATTCAGCCTATCATGAGTGAACCAAACACATTGATGTGAGGCTGCATTTCATCATAGGGGTAATCGAGCGTGGAGAAGTCCAAGTGATGAAGGTTTCGAAAAATCATAATGTTGCTGATATAATCACCAAGGTATTTCCCAGTTGCAAGTTTTTCCACTGTATCCAGTTGATAAAGTTGCATGAAGAAAGCTAGTTTGTTTCTTATTGTTATAGAGTTTGTTTCAAGGTGGAGATTTGTGAGATATTGGATCGAACTCTAGCATTATTGATAGAGGTTTAGCATGTCGTCAAAGTCTACTCACATGCTGTTGTCGAAGACCTACATGTTGTAGTCGAAATGTGTTCTAGTATGTAGTTTTTCAAATTGGGTCTTGTATTAAGGATTCAATTTTTAAGTTAGCTTGTAATGAGTAATTGTTAAAAGTCCATTAGTTTAGTATGTTAGGTTTATTATAAATAACATACCAGTCTCTCATCTTAAGTGTGACAAATCCTAATTAGGGTGATATGGTTATTTTTTATTCTTGAGTACTTGTAATCTAATTTAAAGAGAAAGTAAAAAGTAGCAGTTATAACCAATCCTTGTTATTCTTCTTGTTTTTCCGTTAACCCTAATCCTTGTGTGTTTCTTGATCATAAAGAAACCGTTTATACTTTTTTTAAGGTATTGTTTTTCACAATAAATCTTAATCCAATAAATTTGAATTTTTCAAAATGCATTACATGTGTCATTAGTCATTACATTACTTACATTTTTAAATAAAAATACAAAAATAGAATAAAAGGAATTAAAACTAAAAAGTGGACTAAGTTTTTAACCCACATGAATTTTACCTTACTGCTACACCAGCATCACCATCATGCCTTACACTCCTTTTCACCATCTCATGATCATCACCATGGAACTACCATACATCACCCTTCGTACCAAACAATAACACAAACAAAAAAATGAAAAGGAAGCAAAGCAGCCATGACTTGTATCAAGTATCATTAACATCGCAATATATCATCACCGCCATGACATTTGCATAACATATCACACATGCATATTTAAGTGAAAAATAAATTAAATAAAAAAATTGAAGCATTTGTATGCAAAGCATGGTTCCATACATCAATTCAAACGTACACACATAACATCCATTTGCATACATGTTAATTTAATTGAATAAAAAACAAATGAAACAAATTCAATAGCAATGTCAAAACGCATGAGTTCTCAATTAAACATTCATCACATAACCATCACTTATTCATCATCTCATACATAAAGAAATCAATCCCAAACTAACACAAATTCTAACCAATTCAACCTTTCCCATACTAACCACGAATTATCACATGGAGGATGAGACTGAAGGAAAGTGGAAATTGATTTTCCCACGTGAGGGCCACCCTCTCAAAACCTCTCTTTGATTTCACTCCATGAGGATGCGTAGCCACACGTGGCATGTGCACTAACCGTTGGATCCAATGACTTATCCCTAGTTGACTAGGCTTGATGTGCGCCTTCCCAACCTTTATCATGCGCTAGCGTGACTCTTACCCTTTAATCTTGTTGTGCTTTGATCATGTGGAAAAGGTTGAGTCAACAAAAGTTGACTGCCTCATTCCATTGGGCCAATACGTGTTGGGTCTTTCCTGGCCCTTTTCTATGTACACCCATCTTATTTATCTTATTACAGTATTTTTTTTAATTTTATTTTGATTGGTCTTGTGCCTTTGGGTCCATGTTTTATTTTATTTTCACTAGCAATACCCTATATCATTTCTTGCACCTCCCGCCATTATTATTATTTTTATTTTCTTAATTGCTTTAATTAATTAAATAAATAAATTGATAATATAATTGAATATTTGTAATATAAAAAAAATTGTTGATTCAACGTCAAGTAGTATTTTCAAACTTATCGTTTTTCGAACGATTTCGAATTAATGTGAATCAAACCTTGATCCACTTTGAGTGATTTATTTTTAATCAAATTAAAATACTTTATCCTATCAAACCTTTTAAAATTTAATCTTTACATTTAAAAATTTTCCTCAATAAAGAACGATTGAAAAAGGAATGAGGGGTGTACATCATTCTGCTCCCTGAATAAGTGAGTGATTGGAGCATGCAATATTGTTCGAACTTTCGTCTTCCGATTAAAATATTCTAATCAAACATGGATGAAATAGTAATGGGGATGTACATCATTCTGCTCCTCGAATAAGTAAGTGGGAGGCGCACGCCTTGCTACTGCAAATATTCGTCATCCACAAATAATTTTCAAAACTCCGAATTGGACGAAAAGGGAATAACAGATATACATTTTTCTGTTCCTCGAATAAACAAATGGTTGGTGTACACTTCAATGCTCGATTGTTCGTCATCCTCCTAAAAATAATTCAACACATAAAACTTATATTTTCTCGCCAGTTCAATCAAAAACCTTTTTTTTACAAAAGAACATTGTTTAGTCTGTTCTACCGCGATACAAACAAATGCTTAAAGCCTATAATTGCGAGCATACAAGCAATGTTTAACAGCTATGACGCGATCTAAATATTCGTTCAATAAAATCAACAAACCAATACGTATTTTTCTACGAAGAACTTTGTTGCTTTGAATTCCTCATCGCACCTAAGGATATGTAGGAGTAAAACCCGCAATCTTGTCAAGCACCCTAATAAAATCTTTTTTCTTTTTCCTTTTCTACCTATCAATAATCAGAAGAAAACAAATAACGAAAACTAACATTCTATTTTCAAATCTAACTAAATGGTTCTCGTTGAGTACAACGGAAGTGAGGGGTGCTAATACCTTTCCTTCACATAATCAACTTTTGAACCCGAATTTGGTTACGACGACCATTTTTTTTCTTTTAAGGGTTTTATTGATATTTTCCCTTTACTTTTGGAATAAATAAAGACTGGTGGAGACTCTGTTTAATCATCTATGAGCGTATGATGCGCTCGTGGTGTGCATTTTTCGTGATGCAACAAATGATGACTCTGCTGGGGACATTTCTCCTTCAAGAGAGAGTAAAGCCTAATTTAGTTTCATTTGCAATGAATGTTACTATTGTTTACTTGCTTTCTTCCATGTTTTTCTCTTTATCTTCATGTGTTACTATTTCTATCTACCATTGGTCCTGTGATATTGTAATGGAGGTTATAATTGCTTAATAAACTTTGTTAGATATGCTTCATACCTGAGCTTTGAGGAAAGCCTTAGAATCAGAGATTGTGTAGTATTGGATCGGGGGGGGGGGGGGGGGGGGGTCTACACCTCACTAGAATAGTACTTAGACTCCACCTAGAGTAGATTTGTTTGGAATTTTCATCATGGTGTGGCTAATCCATTATTGTGTTGAAATTTTGTATAAGTTTTATGACTCTAGGAACCTCATGAACTAAAATCCTATTATTAGGGTCGAAGATCGTATAGTATTGGCTGAGGGTCTCCATCTCATTGGGACAATATGAAGATTTCACCTAGAGTAGATCTATTGATATTTTCATCATGATATGGCCAGCCCGTTATTGCATTGAAAATTCTAATAAGGTCCATGACTATAAGAACCTTGTCTAGATCCATAACCCGTTTTTAGGATGGGAGATTGTGTAGTGTTGACCTGGGGGGTGTACACCTTACTAAGGCAATACGAAGATTCCACCTAAAGTAGGTCTATCCAAAATTTTCATCACGGTACGACCATCCCACTATCACGGTGAAATTTTGAATATGATTTGTGACTCTAGGTTTATTCCTTAAAAATGTAACCTTAAAGATATCCTTTGTGTGTTTGGGTATGGAGAACTTAAATCCTCCATAAGAGAAATACCACTTATTATATGTGAAACTTTTGACATCTATCATTGCATAACATCATATTGCATATTTAATTTGCATAATCATTCCTTTATTTTCAGGGAATCTCAAGAGATTGAAAGTTGCTAAGTGTTAAAAAAATGGAGTCTGGAAAGAAGAAAACCTTCCAAATAAAAGCCAAAGTACTAGATGTGAAAAGCCTTGTATTTTTCAGTGATGAATTAACTAATATCCATCGAGAAGCATTCACCATCAAGTATGGGAAGATTCTGGATCCTTTATTGGTTCCTATACAAAAAGAGGTCATCACATCACTAGCCCAATTTTATGATCCATTGCTCAGAAGTTTCATCTTCCAAGACTTTTAGTTAGCTCCAACTCCAGAGGAGTTTAGGAGGATCTTGGAATCTTATAAGAAAAGGAAGGGACCTTATAGAGGAATGAGGCAATTCCCAAAACCCAAGGATATTGTTGAAGTATTGAACCTCTCAGTTGCTGACCTAGCTCATAATATAAAGACCTGGGGGGAGGTACAAGAGATTCCTAGAGAGTAGAGGAAAAATAAGGCTAAAGGCTTTGCTAGTGCCCAAGAGTGGGAAATTTATGACACTATTATGGATTTGATCATCTTTGTATTAGTATTGTTTCCCAACGTGGAAGAGCGTTTTGATATGGCATTTATAAGTGTATTTTAGGTCATCAAAGTAAAAAAAGGAAGACCTTGTACCCGCACTTCTTGCAGATGTGTATCATACCATTCACTTGGGTTATGAGAAGAAAGGAGGATTGATAATATGTTGTACCTCACTACTATATTAGTGGATCATTTACCACATTTTCAAGGACATTTTTATAATCACAAAGATGAATGTATATGATTGGTCCCAAAGTTTAGTGTCTCTCACAGAGAAGTTTGTTCTTTCGTACGCTCAGAGACTCAATGTGGGTAGTATGACTTACATTTGTGGGTATTTCCCAAATGTGTCGCTCATAGGATCAAAGGGTTACATCAACTGCAATCCAACCTTAACATTGAGAGAGTTGGGTTACCCTATGTTATACAAGCCTGATGACCAATTTCTAGAAGGTTTTGTAGTACATGGTAAAGAAGACGCTTCCTTGCTGAAGAGAATTATCCGAGCATGGGATGATGTTCACATAAGAGGGAGAGATTCGGGAAAGGGAATCCAAGCAACTAGGAATAAAGTGGAAACTTTTCATGACGTCCTTTTCTATCTCACCTCTGTAACCGAGGTTAAATCAACTTCATGTCCGAAGTTAAATGTATTATTTGTAGTAGTGTAAACATCTCAACACTGGTTCTTTCGAACCTAAACATAAATCACATCAACACCAAACATGCGTCCTAACTTTAACAACTTAACTTGTATACATATTATCAAGACATTGGAGCGAATTATTAAACATATCCACATCTTATTTCACAAAAATATATCATCAAACATTAAACTTGTGTCCTAAAACATTAGCAACTTAATTTACGTAGCATCTTATCAAAACAACCCCAAAATTCTGTTTCCTGCTAGTCATACATCAAATTCGAATAGTTATTTAAAATATCAAATTGAGTCGGAATAAAGAAAATAAATATTTTTTTGGAAATATTAGAGAGTCTATTTTAATATTATGATTTTAATTTTAGGACTTAAGATCCCAATTGGTACAGTTTAATCAAATAATAGGAATTATTACATGCATCGTGCATAATGTTTTATCAGACTTGTAACTAGTATTTCTCCTTCTGAACTTAGTGAAATGAGATGCTTATTAAGTCTAATATATATGAAATTTTGTATTTTTTATTATTATATAAGGTTTACTCTTAAATGACTTGTGTATAGTGAATTGCGTCCAAATTACTACCATCATGTAAAATAGTTGTGTTGTAGAGTTTTCAAAACATTAACTAAACTTGTTATTCAGTTTTCTAGCGTTTTCTACAACGAAATTGATCCATATAAAATTTTATCTCATATTAAATATTGTATAGTTTCTAACAGTCTCAGTTTCATTCTTAAAAGATCATGACAACTAAAGTTATAGGTAAATGACTAACAGGGTATACTAACTATAAGTTGCAGAAATTAATCGACATATGGTAACAACATTACTTAAATACCTATTAACGACTAATCATCCTATATCATTGGTTAGACATCTAATTTCTCAAACTAATTACACTTACGTTCAATTTTAACACTAAAATCGCATCATGTACACACACTACTAAAAATAAGACATTTGGTTAAATGATTTTACATCAGATTGTAAGATATATGATGTGAAAAATATTTGTCAAAGGATTTTACATCAGATTTATTAACAATATGATGTGAAAAATATTTGATTTAAGGATTTTACATCAGACATATATTTCCACTGATGTGAAAAATAACGCGGTGGCAGTTTCATAAATAATAAGAAATTTTGATATAAAGGATTTTACATCGGACCATTTATCCCAACCGATGTAAAAATTTCTCAATAAAAAAATAAATAAAATGGATTAAACATTTTACATCGGGTCATTTATCTTAACTGATGTAAAAAGTCTCGTGAAGGATTTTACATCGGTCCTTTAACTACAATCGGTGTAAAATGTGCCAGGCCTTTAATAGATTTTACATCGGCCCATTAACAGGAACAAATGTAAAATGTTTTATGTTAAAGGATTTTACATCGGCCCACTTTCCAACAGATGTAAAATCTTCCTTAAAATCCCAAACCCTACCCGAAAACATAACATTCTCAAAATTCCAAAATCCCAAAATTCTTCTTCTTCGCTTTATTCCACTGTAATTTTTCATCATCACTTCTTCGCTTCATCCTAAAAACTTCGTCTTGTATCTTCTTCTTCTTCCATCATCGACCATTTTTCTCCCAAACCCTTAAACTGTCGTCGTCTGGTATCTTCTTCTTCCACCGTCGCCATCAACCGTCCCCATTGTCGTAGATTGCAGTTCTTCCTCCATCGCCATCAAATCCCTCCACCATTTGTTGTTGCGTCGGTTCTCCCTCTCCATTTTCGTTCACCGTCGAAAATCCCTCTGCCGTAGAAGAAGCTGTAGCGTTTTTTTCACGGTTCCAAAACTCACCTCTGGCGAGACAGAGACCTTGCTGCTGGTGATAACAATGATCTATAAGGTATCTTTAACAGTACATGATTTTAATGTTTTTAATAATAGCTGTTTGTAATAATATGAAATAGAAAATTTATATCAGACACGTAAAATAAGTTATGCAGTTTTTTCGAGTTCCAGTTTGAATACCCAAACTGTAGCTCCCCAAACTTCGAAGTCTTTGAGCAACCACAATTTTATATCTAATTTCATGTCAAGAAGAATATTTTAAGTTTACTTATATGATAAAATAAGAATTTTAGTATATTGCTATATATTCTCATATCTATCTGGTCTAGTAAAATGGATTTTACTATTTTGAAGTAATAACACCGACCATGATCTAAAGAGTTCTGGAATTTGAAATTTAGTGTGAAGAAAAATCAGTTTGTTTCATATATTTTCAATGAATTAATGTCATATGTTGATGGTTTAATTCTTCCATATTATGGAAAAGTGGTCCGTTAATTGGTGCTAATCGAAGATGTCTTTTTGGACTTTTTGTTTTCGGTTTGTTAAAGTCTTAGGGGAAACAACCTTGTGCTTGTTGGCTTGGAGAGACAACCTTGAGCTTTTTCTACTTTTCAGTACTCTGCCGGTGATAAAAACGAACTATAAGGCATCTTTAACAGTACATGATTTTGCTGTTTTTAATAATAGCTTTTTGTAAAATTGATTGAAATATTTTGATGTCAATTTGGTTCTATTTGGGTTTTAATTGAAGATAAAAATGTCAAATAATTTTGATGTCAATTTGGTTCTATTTGGGTTTAAATTGAGTAATAGAATTTTTATGATAATACCATTTTGTTAGGAATAACTTTTATGATTTAATTTAATGCCATGTGTTTTCACGTAGAGACTTTTGTTCTCTATAATGTGTCCAAAATAGGGACTATTGTAGGCGTCATAATGATTTAACTCTGTATGTGTTAATTTCAGAACATAGGTATGAATCATAGTTGGATGAGAGCTAATCGATTAAGTGCTGCGTACGAACATGGAGTGACGAAATTTATACAGTTTCCTGAAAGTAATGCTAAAAAAAATCTTCCTCCTCCTAAAAGTAGTGCTGAGAAAAGTCATCATGTGTTTTTTCTCTGTCCATGTGTTCATTGTACAAATCAAGAACCAAAACTTAATAAGAAAGAAATTATTGATCATTTAATTTGTGAAGGGATTTGTCAAACTTATGCACAATGGATATGGCACGGTAAAGTAGTAGCAAAGTCAAATGTGTCCTAAAGAGATAGTTTTAGTGTAGAAATGAATGATCTTCTGGAATACATGATGCGTGATATTGGACAAGATTCGTTTAAGATGACACATGCGTATGACACTTTATGCAGTGACAAGGATAAACCTTTGTACCCGGGATGCACAAATTTTACACGTTTGTCAGCCGTGTTAAAATTGTCTACTTTGAAGGCAAATATTGGATGGACTGACAAAAGTTTTATCGAATTTCTTGAATTGTTGACACAAATGCTTCCAGAAGGTAACGTAATGCCAAATTGTTATTATGAGGCGAAAAATTTATTGTGTCCGATGGGTTTGGATTATGAAAAGATACATGCATGCCCTAATGATTGCATATTATACAGAAAATAGTATGTAAACTATAATCATTGTCCGAAGTGAAAGGTGTCACACTATAAAAAGAAAGATGGTGATTCTAGTGATGATGAGGTGGCCAAAAAAGGTCCTCCTGCGAAAGTAGTATGGTACCTACCAATAATTTTAAGGTTCAAGAGATTGTTCGCTAATGCAAATGACGCAAAGAATCTTAGATGATATGCAGAAGAAAGAAAATGTGATCGACAAATTCTCCATGTAGCTGATTCTTTCCAATGGAAGAAAATATATTCTTTGTTTCCACATTTTGGCAAAGAGTCGAGAAACCTTAGACTTGGACTTTCTACTGATGGAATGAATTTGTTTGGTAATCTAAGTACTAACCATACTTTTTAGCCTGTTCTCCTGATGATTTACAACCTATCTCCTAGGTTGTGCATGAAGCATAAATATATTATGTTATCGATGATGATTTCGGGCCCAAAACAACTAAGAAATGACATAGACGTTTATCTAAGTCCACTGATTGATGATTTAAGAGTGTTGTGGGAGGAAGGGGTGGATGTTTTTGATGCGTATTCTGGTGAACATTTCAATATGTGTGCCATGTTGTTTTGCACCATCAACGATTTTCTGGCATATGACAATTTGTCTGGGTATAAAGTTAAAGGGCATAAAGTGTGTCCCATATGTGAAAAAGACACATGTTACCATCAACTTGAAAAAGGAAAGAAGACTGTTTATCTCGGGCATCAAAAATTTCTAAATTGTTATCATCCATATCGTAGATTGCGGAAAGCTTTCAATGGGAAACACGAGCATGGTGTTGCTCTAAAGCC